CTGCCACGGTTGCTTCATATTTGCTTCTAAGCCTGCACAGTACGCGTATCACTCCTTAGTGAAACTGCATAGAATCTAAACGTCCTTTGGAGGCCAATCACGAGTGGTAGTAGATTTCTTCGCTCTACGTTTGAAGAACTTCGCCAACTTCAAGTTTTCAAAGCGAAAGCTGCCTAGTCGAGCAAGTTTCAGTGTGCATCTCCGCGTGGCCTTGAAGCGAAGAACGGATACCTCGTGACTTGCCGTGAAACATTTAGTTATGGCGTGGCAGTTGCGCACGAGCCTTCAACGAATTCGTTTATCGGCTTGTCATATACCTCGCTGAATGTCCATCTTCAGCGCCCGAGGTAAAAACGCACGAAGTGCGCACATCTGCCTGCAAGAGGGGAAGGGGGGGGGGGAGTGATTTTGAATGAAAGGAAGAGAAAAGTGAGCCCCGTAACTGTGTCTCAAGGGGGAGGACACCTCAACAGTAGCTCACAAGGGCTGGGGGGGAGAGAGAAGGGAATAAAAGGATAGGATTAAAAGGTAGAGAGATAGAGAGAGAGGAAGGAGAGAGCGAGGCAGAGGGACAGGGAGCGACGGAAGTAAGGAGAAGACAGGACAGAAGGACACGGTTGCAGTTAACCCAGAAGAATAATGGCTACATGAATTGTGCTCGGCTGTTGTGAAGCTGAATGCAGGGAGATGCGTGCATGGTTTCTGCAGATTCCACTTGGCCTACATCGCCAAAGTCGCAGCCACATGGATCAGCGATGGTCGGTACAAACAAGAACACCATAGACACAATTGACGCAGTTTGACCTCCGCTGCCGAAGTTACAGCGACCTACGAATTCACAGCGCACCTCAACAAGTCTCCGACTGACAAGTTTCCAGAAGACAAATCAATCCTGAGAGTTCTTCAATCACTGGCAGACACACTTTGAGTGCGCTCGTTGGCAGGCTGAAGTGACGGCACACTAAGGCCGTACAACAAGTACTGGATGTTCTACGTCCAGTGCTAGCAAGCGTTCAGCCGGAACCATGAACCGATGATCTACAGTGGAACGTGATACGCCTGAAGTCCTGCGTCTTTTACTATCGAACGCAGCACTCTATAAGCTGGCGTGTTTTTTTTTTAATGTTCTCTTCTTTTTATTTCACTCTTTTCATCCCTCATTCCCCTTCCCCAGTGTAGAATAGCAAACCGGACGCTCGTCTGGTTGACCTTCCTGTCTTTCCTTTCTCTATACCTACTCCTCCCTCCGTAAATGAAAACTGCTCGCCCTCGTATTCGACAATGGACGTCATTCCTTGATGAATCATTTTCTCAGACAGTGTCTTTCTCAAGTCGGGCGTTTTCGAGAGCACTGTCGGTATCAGCGCCTTGGGTGTGCTTAGAAACCAGCTCTGTGAGAAGCTTGCAAACGGTAGTGGAAACGCCTCATACAACACAGTAAATCGCTTTAAGATTCTGTGATTCATGGGCATTGCATCTGTGAAAAACAAACACCGCTTTCTTTTTACGCCCTCAACAACATTTCACTTGCATCTAAATTAGGTTGTTTAGCATGTAAATACGTCCCGTTCGTTGCCGGTCGGCCTCAATTTGCATTGATACATGGGCGAGTAAGAAACATTAATGCCCTATCAACTTTTGCCTCGCGTGCAATGTCGCTGATACATCGCATTTCTCGTGCTCTTTCACGAACGTTACGACGTTCATCGTCGCTTAGCAAGTTTCATGCGCATCATACGCTGAAACTTTCCATGTCGCGTGCTTTTCTAAACACTTCCCATATTTGTACAAGACGTAAATGGGCTTCCCCTCAGTAAAATAAACACTGTGGAGAAGCCAGCTTGGCCAACAGTATTAATTACGCTTGCATGTACACACGTTACTGACACTATTAATTACAATACGTAATTAATTACAATACGGTAATAAGAAACATTGCCCCTGAGGCTGGTTAGTAACCAGTAGTTAAAAAATTGAAGAAGGGGTAGGTCGAACTCAACCCCCGCTCCCGATATGATCTATGTCGTTGGTACAAGAAAAATACAACATTGGTGCTGAAGTGGGCTTCTTATAATGAATGCAGTGAAGAAACCAGCATTGACAGCCGTTTTAGCCCGTTACATTCGCATGCGCACACGTTCATATAAAACTTGTATACGAGAGGCAGGACCGTGAGCAGCATTTAAAAGTTTGAAGGGGGATTGGGGACTATTTCTCCAGTGTGCCACAAAATTCTGCGGCGCGAGTCGCACAAGTTAAGCAACACGGTCCGCTTGGGTGCTTCTTGCTTGTCCAAGTTCTCACATTCTAATCTAAAGAAGAAGAAAAAAGTAAGAGTTTGTTGAACGCGAAAAAAACAACAACAACAACGAACAGGCAGATTTGGTAACTCATCTTAGCCCGGTGGTGTGCAAAACAACGGTAAAATAGATACTTGCTTTTTCAATAAATGCTGACTTGATAGTTTGCGCCGTGTTTCGTGTTATTTTCTCTGTTTTATCGTTCTTTTGCGTACCACCATGCTAAGACAGGTGGAGCCCGGAAGTTCTAATTCAAGGCTCAATAGACCGGGTGCGCACAAAAAAAAAAAAAGAAATTAATTTACATGCGGCAAACTGCATCCCAACTCTCCGTTAGACAAAAATTAAATGCTTATGTTTTACGCACCAAAAGCACAGTACGATTATGAGGTGCGACCTGGATATGCTAGTCTTTACAAAATAAGCGCAAACAATCAAATACAAAAACAAAGAATATACGATAGTATACAGCCGCTAACTTACTTCTATTTCTTTGCAGAACGTCGACAGCTCCGACAGCTGCCATGAGGTGCGCTTACGTAAGTTCTGCAGAACGTATGGCATAGAATCATGTTTTGCAGGCAAGTGAAAGTTATAAGGAAGGAGGGAACCTCATGAATAACAAGAAAAAGCAGTGATAAAACATATAGAACGCGGTGATAGTGCTGCCAACTCGCCATCAATATTTCCCTTGTAGTGCTCGAACCTCGGCACTTTCTTTGTTAATTTTGAAAAGTGCGCGATTTCCACTGCTCTTTAGAATAGCCACGGTAAAAGCAAGACGATCGTGGTTAAAGTCTTGCTGCACCGCCAAAAAGGATGCGGCTCTCTCTTTCTTGCCACCTCATGCACACAAAAGCCCCACCTGTTTGCCTCCTTCAACCACACAGAACATGTTGCGATTCATGTACATCACAACGCTAAGTGTTATCACCCTCCCCCCACTTTTTTAATTCTTTTTTTTTTGTCAATCAACGCTTTTTAAACTACCCTAGCTACAGTTACTTTATATGTTTATTTATTGATTTACCCCCCTTTTTTTTACAAAGGAAATTAACCCGATACAACAAGCCCGCAATGACCATGTACTTTATAGAAAACGGCGGTTCTGTTTTTTATGCCTCAAATTTCAACGACTTCCATGTAAAATGCTGAAAAAAAAAATTTACCATATATTCTGAACCTTCGTGGATATTTTACGGTTTCATTTTGAACACACTTTTTTTCTCCGTCTAACATAGCAGAGATTCTTTTAGAATGAATACTTAACAACTAGCTCGGCGGCTTTCCGTTATTCCATGCATCTGCCAACTAGTCGGAATACACGTTATTAGACGTAATTCATAAATAAATATTTCGAGAGCCGAGCTATAACTCAGGTGATGAAGCCCCTGCCTTCAAGCAACAAACAAGTTAATCTATTTTTAGTTATATTTGGAACATCTCAAACCAATTCAGTAATCTTGCGAGCCACAATTAAACTTAATTGCGTTGTTTTTTTTTTCTTGAGTTTTAAGATCAATAATTAGGTGGCACTATTTTGACCAAGGAGTTTTCAATGAAAATAAATATTTGGAAAACGAAGGTAAATTGGCCTATACGATAATGTTAATTAAGCACTTTTTGAGTACTTGAGTAAAATTAAGCAACATTTTTACTGGCGTTATCTGTAGCTTTTACCGGCCCGATTGTGAGCGCTATGTATAAACAAAACTTCATGAATCCTCTTGCAGGACCTGTTTGCTTTTTTCACGTGCTGTTCATCATCAAATTTAGAAAGGTCCTTACGTGCCTAGAAATTTGTTTTTGTCCAAGAAGGAAAAGGCACGCCGAGTTCCAAAAAGTGAGCGACATCACTGCCACACTTGACGGCGCGGGACTATGTCGAGTGAGTGACACGAAACATTCGCTTTCCCACCAACGCGACCATCTGTGATTGTCAATTTGTGACAGAGACAACAGGCATTTCATGCTCGCCAGCCGCTGGAAGTTTAGTCAGTTGTTGCCGTGATGCGTCGCATGGTAACTGCAGTTCACAGCGCTAGATGCCACTAAGCATGACCTACTACACTCCTGACCTGTTCAGATAGCGGGGTTCCTATGGGAGCGCGTGTCCCCGCTCTCGTTCAATCGCTCGCCGTAGGTGGCGCTACCTATAACCTGTTCGTCTGCTACTTTACGGCTGTTTGGACGGCGCTAGAGTAAGAACGGCTGCATTCCGTGATGAACAGCCGGCATATATGTGACTATTTTTTCACTTAGATGACTGGTCAAGTAAGCTGTTCAGTGTGACGAAAAATTTATTGCACACTGGTGGACAAATGCGAGAATCCGTAGACTTACATAGTGTAGGACAGCATATGTGATGTTGCGTCCATTTAATTGCAAAGAATTTGTGAATGACTTTTGAAATATTTGTTTCAAAATTATTTTTCATTAGTGCATAATAATTACGCAATATGAGTGCTCTGTTGGCCGAAATATGACCACGAACACTGAAGCTGACGTCAGCGAACAGGTGCTGACTAGCGCCACAGTGCTCGTAGGTGACGGCCCTAGCGGCAGAAGGTATGAACTAGAACGTGGGCGCTGGAAGAGGTGCTCTCTGGGCAGGTCAGGAGTGTAGTAGGTCATGCCACTAAGGGCGCGCGCGGCGCAATTCACCGCTAGGCGGCTACAATTCGCGCGAGCGTAGTCTGCTTTGCTTGGTGCGGTTTGTGCGGTGGCGGTGTGGTGCAGCGCGTATGCCTTCGTTACGGGGATCAAACTTTGTTTCTGCCATTAAATCTACTATATGATAAGCACAAGCTTTGTAACAGTGAGGATTGTTGGATGATGTTCGCTGCTTGAACTTAATATGGAATGTCTGCGCTCTGCATCGCCCGAAATATCGTGAAGAAGCCCCTCCTGAGCAGGATAGGCGACTGCCTTTTTAGGGCAGCCGCGGCACGGGCAGTTCAGCCATCCAATAATAAGCCTGCCGTCCGATCTATTCACCTCTCGGGTACTTCAGCTTTCCAAACGGGTTTTTGTGGGGCTCTAATGCTGCCTAGCTTCATATTATAGTCTAGCTTTCATAAGGCGCCTCATAAGGGGCAACGCTCAGGCGTATTTACAGTGCATAGTCGTTCCTTCACAAAATTTGCAGAGCCAGCTGTAATTTTGTCGATTCGCTTCTGCAGATCTGCTCAGAATGGCAGATGAAAAGGACATCAAGGACATGACTGAAAAGGACTGGCGTGAGAAACTGACGCCTGATCAGTTTTATATTTGTCGTCAAAGAGGCACAGAACCCGTAAGTTACGAACTCTTTGCTTTTTCTGTATGATAGTCAGTCATTTGTAGCATCACAGTAAAAAATAAATAGTTTGGATGTGTCTATTGTTTCACGTCGTGCATGACAGCCAACCTTTTATATTTGTGCATGTATGTCTCTAACTACGCTTCAGCGTGCTGCTTTCTAAGTGCGGCTCTCGTCGGGCGTGGTTTTGACTTGCGCAATGTGCCACGGAAGAGTGAATGCATGTAGTTTGGCTGCCGGTGTTATGTACGCGTGTACATGGAGTAGAAATGATATATCTGGCCTTGTTTACTGTCTATATATGCAGCAGCTGTAACTTATTGATTTTACCGATCTTTACAGGCGTACAGGGGCCGGTGGGTCAACCATAAAGCGAAGGGAACGTATACATGTATTGCCTGTGGTGCTGATTTGTTCAGGTGGGTGTGGTATAAACGTATATGCGTAGGTAATGCCCTGTTCTCTTTGATGGTGTATATTCATCAACTCAACTTATTTATTTATACATGACAACCACCATCTATCAAACACCATAATTATACGCATTATCCTGGTCTCCACATACATAGTCCACCAGTATGTTGACATTCACACACCATCTTCATATGTCTCAAAACCGCTGCTAAGCACTGCTAATGCTTCATGGCAAACACTTGTAAATTGTGAGTAAAACAATGTAAATTACCGATTCATTGCAGCACTATTGTAATTTGTAACCAGCAATGTAATAAAACATCTTCTGCAAAAGAAAAAAAAACTATATTACAAACATGAAACTGAATATGCTGAACTCATAAGCTTTAGGAGCAATTCAGCAGCAAGAAAGCAGAATGCTAAAATAAGCATTTCTTTGTCTGTTTGTTTGTTGTCATTCATTCATCGATTGATTCATTCATTCATTACAAGAGCATGTCCCTCACAACCTTGCTGACTATGGCTAAATATGCTCAACTACATCTTTTGTGCACAGTTAAAAATAGGTGGTCTTATTTGCTGCCATTACCTAGCAGGTTTATTTTCTGTAATCATACTCTTCGAGCATGTTGATGACAAACTGTCGTGTGTAAAAACACAAATTAACAAAAAGAATGAAATGATGGATGAGCACTAGCTACAAACTTTCTTCTTTTTATGAACATTCTCATAGCTGGTAGTTGTACTCATCAAGGACAATGAAACACTAACAAAAATTCATGGCTTTACTTGTAAGTGTGGGTAAACAAGTGTAAATGTAAGTGTGTCTTATGCTCTTGCACAATTCAAATGCCACATTCAGAATCTTTGCACTTTTTTGCAAAACTTGATTGATTATAACTTAAACCTGCCATACGTTCTCTCTTTTTTTCACCAGCTCCGAACACAAATTTGTCTCGAATTGTGGCTGGCCATCATTTTTTATGGCTTTAGGTACAGTGGATGGCGACGAGTCAAACTCAAGCATTTTACGGAAAGAGGACACATCACATGGCATGGTACGAACAGAAGTTTGCTGCAGAAAGGTAACACAAGACCTTTTTTTTTTTACAACTTCTGCTCATTTCAGTTCATTATTAAAGGTATAACTTAACCACAAGGATAAGTTGCGACTTGTCTAATTCGATTTTAATGCAGCGTTGCAGCTTACATCATCTAGCTATTGCTGTTGACCGTTTCGGTGCTGTATAGTATGGTGTTAAGGTAACTTACTGGCAGAATTATTATTTTCTGTCAGGCGTAGTTTATTTTGAGCAACTTAGAATTAAGCAAGAAAAACAAACAGTGTTCCCCATAGGTCCCCTCAGAGCTTACTTGCGATAACTTATGCGAGGCTGCTGATAACAGAAATACAAAGTTAAGTTTTTGCTGGAGAGATAAGATATTTTGAACCATCACTTCATCAGTAAGACACTTTGCAAGTAAATCTATCAAAAATTTATTCTAAGCAGTTTCAGAGTGTTTGCATATGTCTTTGTGCTACTTTTCTTCCTTGTCTAATGATAAAGTATTCATTGTTTGATCAACCTCTAAATAATCTAATTCCAACTGCATCAAAGTTCACTCACACCTCATAGAACAAGCAACAATATCAAAACATTATGAAATTTGAGTTAAAAGTGAAGATGTATGTATCTCTAAAGGAACATTTCTAGTGTGTTGCTCGGCTAATCCAAATGTTTGGACATACTTGTAAAAAAATTGTAACCATGCAGAAATTTGCAGAAGTCTGCAAATCTGTAAATTTTTGTCACTGAAGATCGTGCTGCCATTATGATTTTTATAACAGGAAGATTTTGTGAAATTTATTCTTACAAATGAATGAAACAGTAATATTACTACATGGCCCTTAGTTGCATCTGTGCTGTGTGATATGGCAGGGAAATTTTTATTCAATGGTCTTTTTATATAAATAGTATGCATGTGCTACATGCATTTATTTATTTATTTTGCATAAGCCTCAGTATTTTACATTGGTGCAAGGTGTGAAGGAGACCACAGTGCACTTATTTTATGGAGTTTCCTTCATTGCGATATATCGGCAGATTTTGTCAGCTGCAATATTTTCATTCTTCATGGGGTTGTGGAAAACAGGGACATGCCTGCCACGTACAATGAAATAACAAAACATTTTTACCTCGCGCGAAGACTGTATCCACTCTATCATCCAAAACTTAATAGGCCACAGGCCCTTACGCTCAGGCTACTGCAGACTGACACGTACCCTAACCTGAGATCCCTTCACGCTATTTATCCTGACGTGTTCCCCAGTGACGCTTGCCCCGCATGTGGGGATGTATCCAGGCTGGCGAACATGCTCTGGGAGTGCAAAGCAATGTACACTTACCCCAACAGTACATCGGTCAGGTGGGAGGCGGCCCTACGCAGCTCCCTCCTGGCCGACCAACTTTGGGCCGTCCAGCAGGCCCACGGAGCGACTGATAGGCTTGGCCTAACGGTCCCGACGCGGGAGTCGCCCGCTGCGCGCTGACGCACGCCTTGCAGGACCTCAATAAAGTTTCGCAACCAACCAACCGCTTTTACCATGGCACCAAATCCGATTATACTGTCTATGCTTAATGCAGCGAGTAGATTTAGCATAACAAATGCAAGACTAATACTAAACCGAGTGACAAAAAAGGTGCAGTACTTGCATCATCCATGAGTATGCACTGGGTCTGTTTCCTGTGTTTGTACCATCTAAGACATGGTTCTTCCTAGTACCTCCACTTTCATTTTATTAATATAAAACTTTCAAGGCTGGTCAGGCTTTAGGAAGGGTGAGTTTGAACATGGACAAGACAAAATTATATTATATGCGAGTTAATAGTAAGTGAAAGATGGCTGCTCTTCTGAATTTTTTTTTTCACTAGATCCATGATAGAGACAGCAAAACAGTCTTCTTCTTTTTTACAACCACTTTCTCTCTCAAGTGCTTTCAGTTCAGTGGTTTTTGGAGCAAACAAGTTATAGTACTGTTTAGTTCTGTGTTTTAAAATATGAACCACAGTTGTTAACACTGTAGAATAAAAATCATCATATAGTAACAACTAATAGCTTGCTTGTAATGATATTAGTGTAATATGTCGTGTGGAAAGAACATAACATGATATTCCTGGGTTGTCATTTACTGCCTGTTCAGTGACTGCACTGTGAGTTAGCACATCTACTGCAGATTTATATATCATGAAGAAAGTAAATGCCAGGACCCTGACATTACTGCCATTTTGTTAACAGCTTTGAAAATTTGGGAGTTCAGTATTCATTCTTTTACCACAATCTTCTATCCTAAATTATAATTGACTATTTAATGGTTGCTTAAAGAGACACTAAATTCAAATATAAGGTCAACATGCATTGTAGAAGATCAGTCCAGCAACCTTTATAGAGCTTTTTTTCTTGTGCCAAGACAATGCTTAGATTTAGGTAGAAATCATGTTTCAAGTATCTGCATACCCTTAGTGCAAAAAAAGTTGCTTGGCCTCATGAAAAAAGTCTAACATCACTTATGAAATCACTGCCCTTTACTGCCTGACAACCAGTGATAAGTTTTCTTGCCTAGAATGTGCGTAAAACTCAAAATAATGGGCATAAAACTAGCGGACGAGACCGCTTGAATGAAAAATTTTATTCACGAGCTTCATGATTGAGGTTTGCATGGGTTGCAAAACTTTTTAATCACCTGTGTCACCCACGCCATTGTCTAGAGTTAGTGTCTTAATAATAGCAAACTTAAAGGGGTGGTGCCACCACATTTGTGGCTTGCACGTACTTTGCTGCAAGCGTTTATTACAGCTCCAAGAAGCGTAATAGATGCATCAAGATTTTTTGTATTCTCGCTAAATAATTTAATATCGCCTCATTTATCTGCGCAATTTTTCGTTTCTGGGTGCCGAATCGGGCAGTGACGCAGGAGGATAGGTGGCTTGGTCACAGGACCATACAATGCTGTGACGCCCGTCGTGCTGAGTTTCATCTGCTATCACACATGTGCCACACAAGCACCTGCAAAACAAACACGCCACTAGCTGCAGCAGCCACTATGCTTTGCCAGTACAAGCATGGTGGAGGTCCGGAGGGGTCACTCACCTCACTACAGACCTGGAGTGACGTCACGACAACTGTCGTTGCCCTTCTTATAGAGCTACCTCAGTGCTGGGAGCACTGGCGATGTGCCTCAATTGGGAGAATGAGCATTTAGGTACACTTTGAAAGGGAATTAAAGCATATTCTAAATGTTTGCTGTGTCCGACCATACGTGTGGAGTGTCCTTGTATACAGAAGGAACCCACAAGAGGCTTGTTATAGCCTTGAAATTTGATGACACCACCTCTTTAGTGCATTTCGGCTTTCATTATTGAACATCGCTCTAGCAGTACACCAAAAAAACCCAGGTTTTAAGTCTGGTGGCTGTTACTCAGAGGAAACTGTTGGTGGGATGCGAGTTTGTGCACCACCTAGACTAACTTAAGGTAGAAATGATAAGCAAGCGTCTTATTCTATTTCACAATGCATTGCAATCAGAGGCATAGCCAAACACTTTGTTCAGGGAGGGGAGGGGCAGGTATGTCTGTGCATGTGTGAGCACATATGTAAATGCAAAAAGAGGGGGGGGTGATGAAACTCCCGAACGGCCCCCTCAGCTATGCCACTGGTGGCAATTATCTTCTTGCCTTATTGGGCCTGCAGCCAAATTTAACAGCGGCCGGCATGGGCATGTCTTTGTGCCTACTTTGAGGTGAAAACGGAAAGTTAGGAGCAGCGGCTATGGTGTCCGGTATGACCGAGGTCTAGAACGTTCTGTCTGTAGCTTGTGTCTGGCGGATCTTTCACTTTCTCAATGGCTATCATGAGCCTTCTTTTTTTTAAATGCGGAGCATTTCTTAGGGAACTTCAATGACTTTGAGCGCATCTATCTGTCTATCTATCTATCTATCTAGCCGCGATGTTTGGGTGCTCTCATGGTCACCCCCTTAATTTGGTGTGAACCAAAATTATCATGGGAGTGTAAGAGGGTTTGGGGAATATGACGCGCTGCTCAAGACCTCAATAATGTCACAATCCCGTCACGTACGTCGTCAAACACATCCCGCCAAACAGTGGCACATACCCATGGGTGGGTATGTGCCGCTGGTATGTGGGTATGTGCCACAGGTGATTGACACTTAGTATCTACCCAGGAACGATGAGAACACACATGGGCAATTTTAACGTGCAAGCGAGCGTTAAGAAATAACCGAAATCGGTAATGTCAACCCGGCGAATACGAAGAATTAATGTCAGGGTCCCAGCTAGAATCGAACCAAAGAATTCTGAGTGACAATGAAGCATTTTACCACAGAGCTGTGCCAGCTCTTGGAACTACTTTTCAAATAGACGCTAATTTTTGTGCAAGCGTCAATAGTGGTTGCAGGGCTGCCGACCTAATTTTATAAACATTACACATGCGCTCTTTTCATACATCCATCACCTCGGGTTAACGTCAATTGTAATTAGTTGCCATGCGCTAAAGTTGATTTATGTGGCAGTGTTCAGGGCCAGCATCCACGCGAGCATCAGCGCTTCATATCAGCTTATGGTGTTGCTAATACGTTTGTTCCAGTTAGCATTGTTGCACAAGTGCAAATAACTGGTTACATAAACCTCTGCAACTCTTCAACATATGTCATTGTGTGCAACATTTGTTCATATGTTTCGCATCATTTCATAACGTGTCACAGAATAAAAAAAATTGCAACACAGTCACCTTCCTTCCACATGCTTCGCATAACGTCGATCCCCAGGTTTGTGGGATCTGCCGAATTTTTTTTTGCTTTTTGCTACTGGTGCTATTGCAAGGCCAGTCCTAGAACATTTTGCCCGTGTAGTTCAGTCGTGAATTGCAAGTTCCTAAAGTACTGTTTTACTAATTTATGTTTTAGGTATTCTCAAGTACTCATCCATCAATGTAACCAGCATTGTTATTTACCTTTAGTGTTTCTTTTAAAAGACCCTCCTAAATTTTTTCAAGCTACATTTTCTTCAGATCTGTCCTCTCAATGGGAAGGAACAGGGTGAAGAAGGAATCATCATATATACCACACATAAACCCTAGTTATTGACAAAAGAAATTTCGATATGCTAGCAAAATTATAATTGCCCTCAACTAGTTGAGGCGATTATTTGGGAGTGGGGAGGGAGGAATTATCTTGGGGGAAAAGAAGAAATCTTCGGCGACGGGAGGAAAGGGGCTCATGCCCCCTCCCTCCCCTCCCCTTATAAGGTTTTTTTTTGCATCGTGGTATACATAGCGCAAAATGACCATTTGCCTGCCCGGCCCCCACTTTAAATTATAAAGGTGCCCCCCCCCCCCCCCCCCCCTCCTTTTCACCAAAAAAAAATTCTCCCTATGCTCCTGCCCTCAACTAAATATTATTTCACTCCTCCATAGCATCATAGGGTGGCACCACTAGCAGGAGAGGTCTACGGAAAGCTGATGCACTATGATTCAGAAGCCTGATCAGCCTATAGATAGCTTTCCCCACAGCTTCTCTTATCGGGCAACACACTCTTTTATCTCAGACGCCACGGCATCACTTTTGTGATTACAGTTCCTGCAAGATGGCAGTTTGCATACCAAACACTTGACTTGTTGAAGTATTGTTCGTATAGTTTTAACACCTCACATATGGCTGTGAGTACTTGGAAGGGATTCTAATACCTAATGCTATTGGTTCCCCTCCTTTTTTTGCAATACTTTGGGTATTATGTGAATGTAAATTGCACATTTCAATTTCAGCCAATTTTCCAAGTGACTTTCGGTAATGTACTATTTGTGTCAAATGAAACCTGAATAGCGACAAGCCTTCGTAATGGTATAGTGTGCGCCATTCACTTATCACCATGGACAGGCACGCATACACGCGCAGAGCTGTTGAACAGTATGCGCGCGCCTGCCCATCGTGTTAACTGGGTGCACACTATACCATCGCGAAGGCTTTTCGCCATGCATGTTTCATTTGACGCTGATAGTATGTTCACTACATAAAGTACATGCTTGAAATATGGTTATACTGTCAGTGCTGACTAACAAGCGTCTTTAAAAGTGTTGTAGGGCTCTTTTAAATGTCACATTTGCAGTAATGTGAAAGACGTGCTTTTAAATATTCAATTCATCCTAATCTTTGCAGTGCAACTCTCACCTGGGACATGTGTTCAATGATGGACCACTGCCAACACGTCTTCGCTTTTGCATCAACAGCATAGCACTCAACTTCAGGCCGGCACCTAAATGAAGGCTTCTTAGAGTCAGCATTAATCAAGCAATATGGGCATGCTTTTTGCATAGGCATACTACAAAGGCAGTTAATTTAGCCAGGAATACCTGGAACGCTTTTCTCTTGGTAACGTTGTTCACTGCTTCATACTGCAGAATTCTTCTGAAGTACCTTGTTTGTAAATGCACACATCCAGCATATTTAGAATGAGCTCACATGAAACAAAGAAACTTTCTGAATCGACCAAAAATGGTTCGCACAGACCGGTGAATTAAGTTTTTGTCATGCTGAGTGTTGGACATTGCAAGATGAAATAACCTTGCAGTGAGGAGTTAGAAAGTAGAGAAGCTGAAGTTGCAAGATTTTTGTCAGTCAAAATTGGCGGAGAGTACGGGATGGCTAAGAACCCCCCCCCCCCCCCCCCCCGGTGCTGGCCTGGGATATTTTTTAAGAGCTTGTCTAAGGCTCTCATATACCCCTATCGGACTGTTGGCCATCCAGTTTTGCAGCTATTTCACAGGGAACTGTTTTTGCCCGTTCCTTTTCCTTTCAGGCTTTTAAAAGCCGGATCATGGGGCAGTGAGAAGTAGGGAGTCTGGTGCCGTCGTCGCATTTAGAACGAAGTTACAAGGTGACGAAAATTGTGGCATTTGCACAGCTTTTGTGCAAAACAGTAAGGGATGTAAGCGTATGCATCTAGCAAATGAAAGTTTCTTTATGTAACAGACATTTGTTCATTATCTTCGTAATACATCAATAAGTCTTTCTTTCTCTCTCGATATATATATATATATATATATATATATATATATATATATAATCATCAGCCTGACTACATCCACTGCAGGACAGAGGCCTCTCCCATGTTCCGCCAGTCAACTCGGTCCTGTGCTTGCTGCTGCCACTTTATGCCCGCAAACTTCATAATCTCATCTGCCCACCTAATTTTCTGTCTCCCCCTAACCTGCTTGCCTTCTTTGGGAATCCAGTCAGTTACCCTTAATGACCAGTGGTTATCCTGCGTACGCGCTACATGCCCGGCCCATGTACATTTCGTCTTGATTTCAACTATGATATCCTTCATGCCGGTTTGTCCACTGATCTACTCTGTTCTCTTCTTGTCTCTTAAGGTTACGCCTATAATTTTTCTTTCCATCACTCGCTGCGTCGTCCTCAATTTAAGCTGAACCCTCTTTTTAAGTCTTCATGTTTCTGCTCCATAGCAATGTACCGGCAAGATGCAGCTGTTATATACCTTCCTCTTGAGAGATAGTGGCAATCTACCAGTCATGATTTGAGAGTGCTTGCCAAATGTGCTCCACCCCATTCTTATTCTTCCAGTTACTTCAGTCTTGTGGTTTGACTCTACGGTTATTACATGTCCTAAGTAGATGTACTCTTTTACAACTTCAAGTGCACTATTACCTATCTCAAAGCGCTGTTCCCTTCCGAGGTTGCTGTACATTACTTTCGTTTTCTGCAGATTAATTTTGACCTACCTTTCTGCTCTCCTTGTCTAACTCCGTAATCATAAGTTGCAATTCTTCCCCTGAGTTACTCAGCAATGCAGTGTCATCTTCGGCAAAGTGCAGGTTGCTAAGGTACTCTCCATTAACTCTTACCCCTAACCCCTTGGCGATATATATATATATATATATATATAGAGAGAGAGAGAGAGAGAAAGAGAGAATGTGGATATGAGCAAGGCGAGTGCCTCCTCCGAGAACATGAAAACTCCTCTTATGGTCAAAATTAATCTACATACAGTGCTATATCTACTAGGGCGCTATGATAGCTTTAAGCATGCAATGATGAAATCTAAAATAAATGTATCAATCAGTGATTATTTTTTTAAAAGGGCCATGACAGGGTCACTCAATAATTTGTGGTTTTCAATGAAAAATGGGTGTATTATGCCTGTATTTATATAAAAAGTGGATTATAAAAGGATATTTCACAGCAGAACGAGCCCTAGAAGCGGCTCGCTATTAACACCGCCCCTTTCCAGCGACCATCATTTTGCCATGGTGTCTGCGACGTTGTGCTATGTATGGCCCTGATGTAATGATAACTGTTGGGGTTCAAGGTCCCAAAGAGCATTAGAATTTTAAGGAATGCCGTATTGGAAAGCTCCAGAAATTTTGACCACCTCTTATATCTGACTACACAGGCCTCGAGCATTTTTGCCTTAATCGAAGATGTGGCCGCAGCGGCTCAGATTTGATCCCGCAACCTTTCGGGTCAGTAGTCCAGTATCACAACCACTAGACCACTGTGGCAGGTGCATGGAGCTGAGCCATCGTCTTCTACCAAAGTTTCAGCTGCTGCAAATTGTTTAATTTCAGTGCAAAGCTGACGATAGAGCAATACCGTTTGCCAGAATACAGGCCCTCACACATTAAGCTGCTTGTTATGTCACGGCTTGCGAGTTCACTAGTGTTGCCCGAATTTCAGGCTGCTCGTGTGTTTATAAAACTATTCAATTATAAATGAAGCGCTCAAGCTATTGCGCTAAAATTTGGAGAGCTTGTTTGTGAATGCACAAGGATTAACCCACATATAAAAAATTGAGTGTCATGGCCCTTTTAATACCTAAATGTAAGAATGAACCCCAAGTGATTTTTAAGTAGTGAGGTCATATTTTGTGTGCAGATAATGTAGGCTTGCTAGCATTGAGCATCTCCTGCAAATTTACATGTGAGAACAAAAAACCTGAAAGCCTAGCTACTGTAGCTGCCTTGCTTGGTAATGTCAGCTTTCTGGTCAGGCTCACTTTATTTATTGCTGTATCGATTTTGTGTTACTTGCTACCAAGAGCTACGGGAACTGTATTAGTTGAGTGAGAAGAGGTGTACAGGGTGGTTTTCAAAAACGTGGTGTAATTACTTCATGACATGTTGCATATTTCCTTTGATGTGATCAAAACATAGTGCGATTTTATGCAAGCACATTTTCAAAAAAACTGCATTAAGGTGGCTCATGACAAGTGATGTGCTTCCCACAATACAGCAGATGTTGCTAAACACTATGTGTAATTTCTTGTGTGTGATATACAGGTCTTCTCAATTTCGTATATATGTGCTACTAGAGCCATTGTGTGCGTGCATAAAAAAAAAATACCAAGTCCTTTTTCATGTGCCGAAAGACTTCCACAGCCTTGTTTGGGTGCTGTGGCATGTTGTAATGCATAGGAAGTGTCAGTTTGGTTGCATGAAGTTGGCGGTCATGTGTCTTTGCATTGTGGACATGGGCACTTAAGTATATAATGAGCACTTGCCACATTTGAGACTAGTGCTCTTTTTTAAGGGGATGGCAAAGATGCATATATTGCATAATGGAAGGTGGGGCAAACGCAAGGACTATCTATGATATACACTATTGCTAGAATAAGCTTGCTTATGAGAATAGCATCTTTAGTGCACAGTTCTTGTTTTGCCATAGTGCAGGTAGTTTGTTTATACAATGAATTCAGGAGTGTTTACCATGCCAGCTCACCATCTTCCTGTGTGTGCGTGTTTGTCAGTGCATCAATCATGAATCACTAAACCAAATTTTATTCATAATTTATTTCAAAAGCTATTTTTACAAACGTTTTACCTTTCTACCTTAGTTGCAACTGTTCACTGCAAAAAAACACCCCCAAAGTGGTTGCATGTCATTGAAAATAAAAGCATTGATCAAAGGAAAATACTGTCCTGTAATCAATTCGATAACTTCTTGGACTGTACAGCTATGTATACAAATGCTGCCATTATATGAATCTTGGCAGGATCATGTTGCCACGTACAGTTAGGGGAGAAAAGTTTTTTATACCTTTCTGCTGATGCATACAGCTTTACATATATAGAAGACACAGTAAATAAATAGAGACATTCATTAAGCAAAGCAACCACATCATTCCCATCATTTAGCATTGAAACAGGATACTATAGACACTGAGCAATCTAACAAGCATAAAACATGCATTATAAAAAGCAGAGGATTGATTGATTTGTGGAGTTTAACATCCCAAAACCTCAATATGATTATGAGAGACGCTGTATTACAGGGCTCTGGAAATTTCGGCCACCTGGGGTTCTTTAACGTGCAACCAAGTCTGAGCACACGGGCCTACAAAATTTCCGCTTACATCAGAAATGCAGCGGCCACAGCCGGAATTCGATCCCGTGACCTGCAGGTCAGCAGCCGAGTGCCTTAGCCGCTAGACCACCACAGCGGGGCTAAAAAGCAGAGTAACCGATTCCTTCTAGTTAATGCTACACAAGAGAAAGTTTATAAACTATGACATTTCCAAATATGGTTGCTTTCTGTATGTTAGCAGGCATTTTAATTTATCACTCCATACAAAATTTCTTCTCAAAGGTGGCAAGCTGGCTGATGTTCATTTCATACAGCAATGTCAAGCACCCAAGAAGTCATTTCTCACCATTGCAAGTGGTTAAACTTTACCCACTTCTCAAGCCAAGGTGTGCCTTTCAAGTTGGATTCCATGCAGCCGTGGCTATGTCCCTTTTTCGTTAGCACAATATTTTGCAGTAACGTGAGTGTCATATTGTTTTCTCGATGCAATGATAATGGCCTCACAATGAAATTCACATTCATTGCTCATATCTTCTACAGATTTTTCAATTGCGGACTCGCAGCACATTTTATGTACATATTCCCAATGACATAATAAGGGAGCAGGTCACTCACCCAAATGATATTACTAAGCCACTTTGCTTAAAATCAGTGGGTGAAAACATGAAGAGCAGTGTCGTTGTAGTATTTTTCAATACAATTTTTTATCTTTAAATAAATTTAATGGTTTTCTGATAGCATTTCAGTTAGGCTGTTGATCACAAAGACCACTTTATAAACATGGTACAATTTGTCTTCTGACAACTGGAGATGCCACGCAGAAAATGTAGGCTAGATTGTGTGAAGCTGATATGTAATGAAATGTGTTTTACTAACAAAAGTTTAATGTTTCCATTGAAAATTTGTGATCTCCTGCATGGTGCTCTTTGGTCAGACCTCGCACTTCTGTCTTGACTAAACCCAACATATTGATTGATATGTGGGGTTTCACGTCCCGAAACCACCATATGATTATGAGAGACGCCGTAGTAGAGGGCTCCGGAAATTTTGGCCACCTGGGGTTCTTTAACGTGCACCCAAATCTGAGCACACAGGCCTACAACATTTCTGCCTCTGTCAGAAATGCAGCCGCCGCAGCCGGGATTTGATCCCGCGACCTGCGGCTCAGCAGCCGAGTACCTTAACCACTAGACCACCGTGGCAGGGCCCCTACATATTGCCACCGTATGAATTATTCATGCTTATTTTCTGCAGTAATTAGACCAAACACAAGATCAAAAAGTACACGAGCAAGCACTAATGCTGAGCTAGTGTTTAATGGGAAAAGGCAAGTATGCATTAGATTGCTAATCCTGCTGTTTTTTCATTGCAGAAGCCATGCTGTAGTCATTAAAAGGAGCACTTTTAAATCAGTGCTTTCCTTCGCAAGCAATACTGAGTATAGATAACAAAATACCAAAAGCACAACTGAAACAACTAACCATCTTGTCACTCTTTTGTTACACTGTAATGAAGAAGTAGTGGGTCGTGCAAAGCTTGGCAGTCACATCGTCAGCACTAAGCATGAGTCGCTTGGGCCAGACGTTGTCGCTGTTCTTGGCTAGGCCTGCGCTCCTGTCCTGTCTCAAATAACAGTTCTACTTGTCAGGCTGTCTCAA